TAAAATTATGAAATAAATAAACTAAAGTCTGTGTTCTCTGTGGATTCATTTCGCAATCTATTTATAGCTATTTCATAATATTTCTGGAATGTCTACATCCACTGTAATGTCATAAATAAATCCATGAAAATTGATAGTTAGCTCTTTTTATACTGTTTTAAATTAGGAAACTGTACATGTATTATTACCATAATAACAGAATCTAAGATGATTTCTATTACAACACACACACAAATGGCTACAGTTTGCTAAGTTTCTAAGAATTATGCATAATGTTAAGTAAATTTACCATTTTCTCTTGACAGTGTAAAAATGTTAGCAAAAACTCATCCTCAAGCTGCGAGAGTATAGGCTAAGTGCTAACATCATATCTTCCAAGGCGGCAAAACTTATATTAGCAAACTCTTTACAAAGTGATAACTCTAAAAAATATTCAATTTCCAACTCAGACAGAGCCTCAAATGAACACTCAGTACTTACCTCAGTACTTTTGTAAGACCCATGATAAGACCTGATTACATCTGTTTTCTGCTTTCTTTCATTATTTTTATGTTACCCCTAAAATTGGGGTATGAGTATGCAGGTGACGGCCTCACTTCATTTAGTTAGTTATATAGCACCACCTATTGTTTGTCTCAGTTGATGCATGCAAATGCATTTCAACAAAGGCTATCAGTCAGTGACTCAATGACTCTTACAGTCTGGCCTGTCCAGCAAAAACAAAGGTGCCAAAAAGGGTTCTTTGGAGCATTGCCATAGAAGATCCACCTTTAGATCCCTAAAGCAATGTTTCTGAAACGGGTCCTCAGGGACCCCCAGACGATTCATGGTATAGGAGTCCCTGAGGACTAGTTTAAGAACCACTACCCTAAAGAACCTGTCTTTTTTGTGGTTCTTTTTTTTATAATCCTCATTTAAAATACACTTCAACAGATTTTGCCTGTTCTGAGAGCCAGCAGCACTTTAAATGTGGCATTACAAATCAAAATTGTGGAGATGCTGGGGATTGAACCCAGGACCTCATACATGCGAAGCATGCGCTCTACCACTGAGCTACATCCCCACCACACTTTAAAAAAAAAACTTTCAAGGGATGATTCTATTTTGTAAACATTCAAAAATGAAACGTTAAAGTTTTAAGAACCTCTGCACAGTGTAAATATTCTTTACAAGTTTTATACTATATGTCCAAGCTAAGAACCATATGCATTTAAAATATTAAAACATGTTTGTTTTTTTTGTTGTAGAATGTAAACTTTACTAAGAAACATACCGTTAATTCCCCAGACTATACTAAGCTAACAAAAACCAGCAGAAACTAAGCTGCAAAAAAATGCCTGTTTTGAATTTTAATGATGTCACAAAACATATTTATATATATTCACCTATTCAGCGCACAGCAGTTTAGCCCTGCCCATTTAATCCATTTACACTGAGGATATACAGAATGTTTTAATCTGGATTGTGTTCTGAATGAGGCGCAATGCAGGGCAGCCAATCAGAACAGAGCTTTACATATTTACGTGTGCTACATTAAACAGGACTGGCATCAGGGAGAGCGAGAAAAAGAAAGTGAAACTAAAATTTGTGTGCACTGCTACTGCTTGCCACCTGCCACTCCCTATAGAACTGCAGTGGACCTTCTTAGTGCATCCAGCATCTGTCAGCAAAGGAAGTGAAGTTTGTTAGGCTCTGTTCTTCTCTCTTTGGGATCCTCTGGTGTAAAATAAAAAGCGAAAGCTCCAAACTGAGATGTTAGCAAAAGCAGAAGGTGAGCCAAAAGAACAGAGTGACATTGAACCCAAAATAGGAGTAAACCCCAGACTTCTTACGTACCACGGTTTATTATTCAGTAGCTCCAGGGACTTCAATACAAACTGACTGCGCTATTTTTCGGTTCTGGAAGTGTGTAATAAAACTTTGGGCCTGCCGGTGGGTCCTGGCCATTTACAGGGGCTAAAGGACTAAAATCTAACAAGCAGTAAAAGGTCCTTGTTGAGTCCTTTATTTACAAATATACTTGAGTAAGTATTATCATTATCATATTATCATACTTGGAAAAGCAGAAATCAATCATGTACAAACCATGTACTTACATACCTGGAACTAGTTACTGTCTACTTCTGCACCTAAATGCACAGCTGCTGCAAAGGGACACATGTTAGAGTGTAAAAAATAGAATATTTCTCCAAAAGTTAAAAAGTAAGTCGATGCACCAAAAAGTACAAATCCTGAAATAAACTACTCAAACACAGTGATGAGTGCATACATAATCCATGAGTTTCCACCCTTGCTGTTGAGGCTGAGCTGGTGCTTGTAGACTTTTAGCTTTTACACAGAAGCCCGCTGGGTGACTTTCTCAAGAAGACAGCAATCATTCTGAACACCGCTGTGAATATCAGTCGTGAAATATTCAGGTGAATTAAGATTGCATGAGCCCTGAGAGTAAACGTATGGGTGGCGAGAGAGAGAGAGAGAGATGGTGGTGTCTCCCTCAGGAGTAATTGAAGAAATGTGAAAGCTCGATTTTGGAACAAAACTGTTTATTACTTATGATGGATGCTGAAGAGTCTGTTCTTCTCTTTTTGGGATTCCAGGCCTAAAATAAAAGGCTAAAGCTCTAAAGTGAGGGATGTGAACAACAGCAAGAGCTGAACCAACAGAACAGAATAAAATTAAAGAGTAGTACAAGTATTATTATTTGAAAAGCATTATAGTCTACTATGAAATAGATGCTGCTACCATGTCAGTGTCACTGCAGTCTTGAGAATGACCCATCACCCAAGTGAAAACAGCTCAGTGGGGGTGCAGTGGGGGTCCTGACTCTTGATGAATTGGGTAAAATAAGGCTGACAAAGTAGGCTGAGAAACAGATGGACTACAATTTGTAATTGTAGAACTGCGAAGTCCACTTACATGATAAAATGGACAAGTAGTGTAGATACAAGGTACAAGGTAGGTAATATTAAAGCATTTGTATACATACCACAGAGCATAGCAGGATGTAAGTTTGTCAATTCTCTCTCTCTCTCTCTCTCTCTCTCTCTCTATATATATATATATATATATATATATATATATATGTGTGTGTGTGTGTGTGTATATATATATATATATATATATATATATATATAAAATCATGGCCTATGTTTTATTTAATTTGGTTTAGTGAAAGATTGAATAGTTTAGCAGCGTTTATCACTTACTGTAACTATAGTTATTATTATTATTATTATTATTATTATTATTATTATTATTAGGCAGAACAAAGCTAAGGAGTGACAGTGAGAACTCCATTTGGTGCATCACTTTCACTAGGATGCAGTTTTAAATACTAACCACAAGGTGGTGCTGTTATCCATATTAATCATACCTGAACCTGACTCCAATTTTCTCCATCTAAATGCACCTGCAACTGGAACCAGTAACTGCACACTACAGTATCAAGGTAGAACCTATGTTTACAGTTGATTTGTGTACAATTAGAGGTTTTAAAAAGTGCAAGCAAACACATTATAAGCAGGCTCTCATAATACCTCTGTGAAAAAGCACCAAGTTCCTTTCCACCATTGATGTTATGACCAATTAACGCCACAGTCAAACAGATCTTACACAGAGAAGGATTAAAAAGTCCAGCATTCCAGCTGAATCTGCAGTGTTTGATTAATAGCCTATGAAATGTTCAGGAATTTCTTATTAAAACTCGGCCACCGCTTTGTTACACTGATGAGGAGCAGCAAGGCTAGAATATCTGTCTGTAGTTGTAAAGGGTGATTCCATGATTGTGGTGCCATTTATGTAGGCAACGTGAAGGTAAAAGACGATTTAAACATTGATAAAATGTCCTTCACAACACCTGATGTGCATGTTTCAAATCAATAACTTAAAATATTAACATGTACGTTAACAAACAACATCTACAGCACTTTGAACGCTGTATATCTGCTTTTCCCAGTAACTACATCTTACCTTGAAATATAGTCATGAAAACACTTTCAAACTCTTATTATTTTTGCATTAATATATGAATCCATTTAACATACTATTCATCATTTTCACGAGTGGTCCATTATTGATTATGAAAAATGAACATTTTATGTCCCACGACATTCAGTCAGCGCTGTTACCTGAACACATTCACCGCTCTGAAACGTCTGGAATCTTCCACAAGTCACATAATCAATAAGAATGAGCATCATCTGAATTTCTTTTTTTCAGCCATACTGTGGCACTGGCTGATGAGGTTATTCTGAAAGTGCAACACTTTAGCCAAATTATAGGCTGTAAGTAAATTATTACTTAAATAAATAATAATATAGCAATTTAAAGTGAAGAGAGAGTCCTTAATGCCCTCATGCCATTAGCATGGATGCTAGTTGTCCACATTTTGTGTATTTGCTAATTCTAGGCTAAACTCAAACCTGTTACTTTTTTAAGGCTTTGACAGAAAAGAAACCTCCTGAAAGATGACATAGCCTGCCTTCCTGAGAGGGGTTAGCACATGCACGTTTTCTTACATGTAGATATGTGTATGTGTGTGTGTGTGTGTGTGTGTGTGTGTGTCTGGGTGTGTGTAAACAAAGACTATATATCATATACTATATATTATATACATTGTTGGGACAGGACTGGTCTTCCACTGTGCTTTCAGCTGTTGTTCTTTCAGAACATGCTGTACCCGGACCTGTTCCAGAGGATGTACAGCTCTGCGGAGTGAGGCTCTTCATTTGTACCGCAGTGTTTAAACAGTGGAGAATCTCATGTTTATAATATGCAGATATAAATCTCACATGAGCGTGTTTCACCCTGGTCGGCAGAGACTCGCGCGCTCTGCACACACACACACACCGGCGCGCACACACACACACACACACACACACCGGCGCGCACGCACGCACGCTCACACCGCGCGCGCGCCGCGTTGTACTGCTGCAGAGTGCAGCGCGTGACGTCAGCGGCGGCGGCGGCGGAGCGGCTCCTCTCTCTCTCGGTCGGAGCGGGAGGAGAACTAAAAAAAAATGGGGGAGAAACTGCGAGGTGAGAAACGCCGCTTATGATTCATTATTGCTCCTGTTTTTGCTGTGCGGTGTTGGTCGGCGAGCCCGGTCACGGAGAGCGAGTTAGAGCAGACCGAGCTGATCATAACGGCGAAAATCTGACTGACGTTAACCGTTAACCGTTAGCATCACCGCCGGCCAGCGGCTTCACTGAGGGGCTTTTAGCTGCTCGAAACACTCCCCGCCCCGCGTTTATCCAGTCAGAGTCGGGCGCTGGCGCGGCTGTGGTCGCGGCTGAGATGGAGCGAAGGGCTCTGCTGAAGAGAAATGACCGCCCGCGGTGACCGTTCGCTCGGACTCTCTGTGGGGAGAGACCGCGCTGAGTGGCGCCGTAACGGCAACGGTAGGCTAATCCGGTAAACACGCCTTTTTCGGTGCCGAATTTGTGGCTGTAAACGGGAGTCTGCAGAGACGAATAACGTTAGCTAGCTAATGTCATCATAAAGCCGTAAAGACACCGTCCCTCGGGTAGCGGTGGGTGAGGACTGGGTTGATATGAAAGCCGGGGTTTGGTTATCTGAAGCTCCTTCTCGATGTGTCGACACACATGTAGGTTTGAGCGAGGGAGGCGTGACCTCAGCTCTGATTCAAAAAGCTGCAGCTTTGGCTCCAGTAGCCTAGAGCTGTGTGACCAACCCACATTCAGCACACCTGATCCAGCTGCTCAGGGGCTTCTCAGGAGACTGGTGGTGAATAGCTCAGCAGGGCTGAGGCTGAACTCTGGTGGATCTCCAGGAGGAGGGATGGCCTGAGATACTACACTGCCCACTGCTCATCTCATGCTTCTTCAGAAATCAAGGGTATTTAAAAGAGAGTTTGCACCCCCTCCCCCAATGCAGTAACAGCCTCTTCTATTCCACAGGTTACCCCTGTAGCTGACGCTTGGCACTGTGCATAGTGACGGTCACCTTAGGCTCATGTGCAGCTGCTCCAGAGAATCCCAGTCCACTGTCAATACTTTTTTATGGAGGTTGCTATTGAAGGCAGCTGTGTGGGTGCAAATTAACAGCTAGATCAGGATAGTGCTTGTACACTGGTTCCACTGTCTAAAAGAGGGTGGCGTCTTGGCCCCTCTCAGTTTTTGTCCTCATGCCCTTGGCTTGCATGTTAGTCCCCACATATTAGGAGAACCTACATTTCTGTAAGGTTTTGGGACAATATCTGTTGCAAAATCACTTTACAAATAAAACTTCTTTGAATTTATGTAAATGGTTGTTTTTTACAAGCTCAGTAGTTTTGCCTGTTCTTAATGCTTCTAACGAGATCTAACAGTTCTGCTGATGCTGAGGACTTTGTTTCAGAAATGACATGCATAAGCAGAAATGCTTATTTTTCTTATTTTATTCTTTTGTTAAGATGGCATAAGATTGGTGGAAGCATTGGAAGCTCATGTGATGAGTTTTAGTCCCTTCCAATAGGGCTTAATACGCAGGCCTTAATTGAAAAACTGACTGACTAAAGAACAATCCAAGGATGAGGGAATGCAGTTACACATCGACCTATTAAACTATAGACCTGTTATTTAGTTACTACCATGAATTATTTAGTAACTGATATATAAGGTATCTAGTTATGAGAGGGAGAAATGAAAGTACGGAAGTATTCAAGATTCTTTAAGAATGAAGCGATTAATTTGATAAACACACCTTTAATTTGGGAATCTTAATCAACCTCTGACCCACCCCCAGAGCACACAGAAGCATTGGAAAGCTAATATGCTGAATTTCACATTCCCAATAAAGCTGAATATGTTTCCATACTTTCAAGCTTTCTTTATCTGGTGGTTGAAAATGTAAAACCAAATATATCCTCAGAATATTCTGCCTGAATATGACCTAAGTGTTAAATCTGAACCCAACTGTAGCCCTCAGTTTTTCAAGCTGTACTGCACCTTTTTTAACTCTTTCAATTCTGGGCAGGTCCTGTGAAACTGCTGTCATTTTGATTACTTCCATTGCTGTGAGACTACTTTGCAAAGTATGTAGTTAAGAAAGTGAGGAACAGAGATTAGGACCTGCCCACGGTTCCTTTGAGTTTAAAAGGCTAACAAGATGCACACTTCAGCTTTAATACTTCAACCAAACCAAACCAACCCAAAAGCACATCACATCATCTCATCCTCTGTTCTGCAGGTGGTTTCCAAAGATATTTGCACAAAAGCTGACCATCTGTCTCTTTGGAATGCTAGTTACTGCATGGACATTTTGGCAGAACACTTGTTAACTACTAATGGTTTTTTGAAAGGTGTCTGCAGCCAGAGTTCTGTATACATTTGCATTTCATTTTTTTTTTCAAATGTTCTCCCCAATTTAGTCATTTCCATTTCCTCCCGCTAGTTAGGACTGCTTCAATCACACAACACCACCAGCACTAGGAGGGCGAAGGCTAGCAGGAGTCCTGTGAAGCCAGCCACTGCATCTTTTCAAAATGCTGCTAACACAACGTCATTGAACAACTGAACAGTAACTGCCAGTTGTGTTACGTCAGCTGGCTACGATAGCTTGCATCACGCTGGGTGATGGGGGGCCATGCACCCACCCAGAGAGAGCACGAGACCAGTTGTGCTCTGTAGCATCACCAGGGATCGAACTCACAATCTCCTGATGATAGGGTCAACACATGGATGGTTGTGCCATCAGATGCCCCCCTTTGCAACCAATTTGAGGGGCATAATGAAAAAAGCCTTATGCTTTGCTTTTAGACTTTTGATTGGTTGATATGGTTGTAAAGCCCCCTTCCAGTGATGGATGTAGAGTTCTATTTTTGCAGGATATCAGCTTCCCTGCTTACAGGTGGCAGGCTAAATCCCTCAAGTGTGTGCGTGTATGCAGGTGTGTATGTGTGTGTGTAGGTGTGAGTGTGTGAGACTGTGGATTTCCCATCGATCGCTTTAGATGGTCTTTTCAGCTATCAGCCATTTCTGCTACCATAGCTCTGTAATGAGAGATTGTATTATTTACAATGGCAGACATTTGGATGTGCCCTGCATAATGTTGTTCATTGATCTCAGGCTCAGTCAATACTGTAGTGTGTATATGTTCCCTTTCTTTCCTCTTTTAACAATATCACTGCTAGAATAAATCTGGACAAGAGTTATAATAAATCTGTTTAAGCTCTAAGACTTCATAGACCTTCGATAGGGGTGTCTGCAAGGCTACCAGTCTTGGGGGGATTTGGTTGTAGAAATTTACTTTTTAATGGAATTGCTGGTAGAGGGGCTGAATGTGCAAACACTGCAGTAATAATACTCAGATGACTTTTTGATACAGATACGATTCAGTATTTGTAGTTCCATAGCTAATACACATTTAGTTAAGATATGCTGGACTACCAATTCATAACAGTAATGTCTCATCATCGTTATTATACACCACTTTTTTCAAAATTAGCGTAGTGTTATAGTGTGTAACATCCATTGTCATCCAATCTGATTAACCCCCAGAATGATTTGGCTACCAATAAATTTAAAATGCCCTGAAATCACAAAATAAGAGTTAGTTGAGTTGGACTTTGTCACTCTATCACTGTTAAGGGGCAACATCTACTCTGAGCAGTTCTCACAGAAACTAAACTGTGTCATTTATAATAGTTAATTGAGAAATTATGACTGTAGAGTGATCTTTCAAGGCTAACGGCAAGTGCACTTCCAGCATTGATCTGTGAGGGGGCTGTGAAAAGCTATACCTGGTAAAAACCATTCCGAATCTCATGAGGTCTCACTTTGCTTTCCTCCTCAGATTCAATCTGACACATTTGCTAATAGCCTATTCTCAGGCCATTTTTAGTCTAATAAGTATGTTATAATAAGATAACAAGAACACAAAATGTGCAGAAATCGTAAAAGAAACATTAAAAAACAGCAGCTGCCTGCTTTGAAGCCTGATTGATTGAAAACATGTTTCTTTTCTTTTTCCAACCGGTTTTAGCAAGAGCCTGATATATCAGTTTGCTCATTGGTATCAGCCATATGCACAAATGTTTGCTAATAGCAAAGTAGCACACTGAATTTGTGGAGCAGAACAAAAATGAAAGCTCCTGAGGCTTTTCAGAACAGTTTTTTCAAGACAATTGCAGTTGCTCATAGTCTTTCTTCATTGCTGAATCACTAAAATACAGTTTAAGCTGTATGATATTAATAATAGGGGTGTAACAATACACATATTTTTAGGTTTAATATGACTTAAACTTTTAAAAGTTTTTAATTGAGCCCCTGCAACAGAAAACGATATATTACTCCTTACATCCTTTTTTGGATTATCAGTTACGTTGTTTTCTGTTTTATTTTGTACAATCTTTTGTCATAAAAAAGCTAAACTATGTTTTATGTTTTAAGGACCTCAATGCCGCACCATGCTTATATGATTTTTACAAAAATGTCACATATACTGTTTTTCACTGCAAGGGTTCAACTGTGTCACAATCATGGGAATAAACTGACAAATCATTGATTAATTGGCTTAGACATGGCCTGGAAATATGAAGAGCTGTAACATGATTGTTTGGTGCTGTTTTTTTTTACAGAAAAACAATGAATAAAAGTTAATAATTCGACTTAAGCTCTAAATTTCAGGGAAAAAAAATAATTAAAGATGTTACATGGATTTGTTATGGTGTAGCCTAGTACCAGTAGGCCACAGGATATTAATAATAAGATCCAATACATTATATGGTTATTAGTGCACTGATATAAGGTACTTTCCATATGTTCTGCACTGTGGTTTCAGTAGTATTGCTTGACAGTCCTTGTGAAATGTATGCAGTATGATGATTCCTCTTGGCTGATATAAGTTCAGTATGTACAGTGCTCTGTGTTATCTGTGGTGGTTGGGGGTATGAGCATGAAGACAGAGCTATGAGTGTTTTATTGCACTGGTGCCATGGCATGAGCTGTGGGTAATTGAAGATAATTGGCTCAGTGGAAAGCCCTCAGATCAATAGGAGTCTGTGTAATCTCTAGATACTGGAGTTCCATCCTTAGAG